TTGGACATTTTTGTAGGCATTTCAAATCATAGTGACTTTCATCCCTAAAGCCTAAAATGGTAGTGACTTTATTCAGTGTTGTTTCTTGTTTTAGGGGCCTAGTTTCCACAGGCAGTGTAAATAAGAACTTGGATATTTATGAAATACTCTGTATTTCGTATCCTAAAAAACAAAATGATTGAAGAAGAGTATGAGACTTTTGGATTATATTTTATATCAGTGGGCCGTTTCACAGAGTATGCTTTCCAAAATGTGGTCACTATTTTGGGAACTTTTATTGCTGGAATACATTTACTTGTCAGTTTATTGTAAGATTCCTTTTGACAATGTGGTTTACCCAATTTGTACTTTAATTATGTGATAGGGTCTATCTCCTGAGCAATCCAAGATTGTGATTCTGAAAATTCCTGCATATTTCACGGTATGAAACTTTCCTCTTTAATTTTTATTAGCAAAGCTGTATTCATAGTTCTCCTTAATTTTATCTTTTTGCTAGTTTTAACCATCTATGCACTGTTTAGATTAGATAAACATCTATGCACTGCATTGTGGCTAGTTTGGTTTGTTTCGTAATTTGCTTGTATTCCTATTATTTTCTTTTGTGCTTATATATAATGTCTTTATTGCAATAAGATGTCAAAGAAGAATAGTAACTTCACCACAACTGAAAATGTTGCAAGTGGATCCCGAAAATTGTCAGCAGTGTGGAATGCTCAAACTATAGTCATCTTCATTGACCTTTGTATCAAGGAGGTGGATCTAGACAATTGTCCCGGTACTCACTTTAATAAGGTTGGATGGGCAAGGTTGGATGGGCAAGGTTGGTTACAAATATTAGTAAAGAGATAGGAAGACCGTATGAAAAATTACAATTGAAAAACAAGTGGGATTTACTAAAAAAAGAATGGAAATTATGGAAAGATCTAAAAGGGAAGGAAACTGGTCTTGGGTGGAATGTCGCTAAGAATACCGTTGATGCATCTGAGGAATGGTGGCAAGATAAAATTAAGGTATTTTAATTTTTTGTTGTTTTTAATATAGTACAGATATCCTTTCTTTTTTATATAACTATGTTTAAAAATTCATTATAATATTTGTATATGTCATAATGCAGGCAGAACCCAAATATGCAAGATTCCAATTTGAGGGTATTAGTCCTGAGATGGAGGAGAAGTTAGATATGATGTTTTTGAATGTCACAGCCACTGGTAAGCATTCTTGGGCACCTTCATCTGGTGTACTTCCAATTGAAAGTGATGATGATGTCAACCAACTTGAAGTTAACGGTGATTCAAATGAGTCTGTGCCAATTGAAACCACTCAAACTACAAACAATGTGCCAAAAAAGAGAACTAATCAATCACTTGAAATTCAAGATAATAATGAGAAGAAAGGTAAAGGAGGGGGAAAATAGGAGGTGCTGCAAAATTATCACTACAAATTGAACGTCTTGTTGAGGTGGTTGAGAGTAGGAGTACTGGAACATCAATGGCTAATATAGTTTCACAAGGAACTAGTATTGCTGAAGTGATGAAAGATGTTGTAACTTTACCTGGGGCAGAGCGTGGTAGCAAGTTGTGGTGGTTTGCAACTAAATTGTTTTGTGCTCAAGAGAAAAGAGAGATGTTTGTTGTCATGGAAGATCCTGACCTCAAGCTTCAATTTCTTAATCATGAGTTA